GGGGGGGGGATAATAAAGATATTTCTTTTGTACATAGTCAGATTTATTTTATTATTGGGTTGTATATTTGTGTAGTCCAGCCTTTGTACTAATAGGTAGCCCAATAACCCGTTCTTTTGGTTTTTGGCCCAAGGCCCAATTGTAAAGATCCGGACTAACTATCTTCTATATAAATAGAAGACCTCTCTGTCTAGAAGCTTCAGATGCTCAATTTCACAATTGCACGGAATATTTTCTTTTCCTCTTTCTCTCAGATTTTCCTTCTTCTCACTAACAGCTAATCGATAACGATGATCATAACAAACTCCGGTCGCAGTTCAATTTTCGGACAATTTTCAATTGGAGCTTACTGTGCACTTTCATTTGGAACAGAGCATTTGTTGTACATTTGTTTGCTTTGGGGTTTTTCCGCTATTCACTCTGAAAGGAAGTTACTATAATGAAAGGTCGACTTTTGACTTATCTCATTTCTAATTAATGAATGACTTTGAAATTTTATGTGTTTGGATGATTTTTTCTGGTTTCATGATTATCTTTTCTAGTTGCTGCTTATAATATCATGGCTTAACATACTAAAAATAATTTTAAAATTTGAGGCTCAAAACCATTGAAAACAGTAAAGAGGGGCGCATGTATTTAAGCCGAATTTATATGAATTTTTTAGTTGCTATTTTCTTGTTGATTTTTCAGATGTGGAACTTTGAATTTCTTGACCCTTTGCTTTGTTTAGAGAAGTAGTTGATATTCCAATTTCATTTGTTTATGTTTGTTATTTATCTAGTTGATTTTCTTATTAGATATTAAAAGTAGATGAACATTTTAATGTATAGCGGGGCAGTGAAGTGATTTAACAAGCTACGTACATGGATTTGGATTTAGGTACTATATCATGTTAGGTAGTCCAATTCTTTCTTTTTTTATGCAATAAATCAGTAACGATAGAATCAACTCTCTTATCCTTCTCCCACAAATTAATTTTCATAATTCTTGGCCTCATAATAATCTCAAAATTAGTTTAGGAAAAATCATTCTTAATAATCGCTAAGCAACTAGTAGGCGCGCTCTAACTTATTCATTCACGGACTCACTTGCGTAGCGTGATATTTAACATTCAATAAATTAATTCAATAATCTTGTACCATATCCAATAGCTTTAAATAGTCCTAATTTTATTAATCCCCATAATCACGGATTCAATTGCGTAGCGCAATAGTGACATTTAACTAATTTCAAAATTAATTTCCTCAAGCACGAATGTATTAATTTCTCAAATGTACTACAAATAATTGATTGTCATGATTTTGGATTCGCTTGCAAGGCGCGATTATAATAAGTTAATTGATTTTGTTTTCGATCACGCGTCTGCTTGCGTAGCGTGATTATGACAACGTAATATTATCCAAATCATTCTTCAATAATTCTTAATCAAGAAATAAAAGCAGATAGGTTAAACATGGACGGACAAGATTAACACAAATTAATTTTCATAGATAGACTCTAAAATTCCTTCTAGATAATTCTGCCATATGGCCAACTTTGTACAGCTATAAAGTTTTGTCTCTTTTCTTATTTTTGTCCATAAAATTGTACAAGGTTGTTATATGGCAACCAATAGGAAATAGGTACATAGTACATTCTATTTGTATATATACGTGCATACAGTGATAATGAAAGATATAGAAAAGTTTTTCCTCTCATTAGTCTCTTCATTTTGAATTCCTACACTATGGTATAGATTCGGCAAGAAATAATTAATGCTAAAACCAAACTATATAAGCATAAAGCATGTTGTCCCGAAAAATCAAGTCCCTCTCCATTCCAAAGGTTTTTTTCTAGCACCTCTCAAAATGAGTCACTCTCAGTTGCTTTCTAGAATCATTTGCTTTCTTCCCTAAATAGTGATATTCCATCATTTACCAATCGCAAAGAATCACTGGGCCTAGAGAAAATCATGAACCTGAAAATCGCATTTTGACATCAGGCCCAAGCTCCCGAGGGAAGGCCGGTCACAGAAGTCATTGCAAATTTATTCCTATAGACATATCTTTCCAAATGTAAAGGAAAGAATATTTTAATTCCTTATATATATCTATATCTATATTTTTATATATCTATATTATTATAAAAGTCGAATAATTTATGTTAAATGTTGAACGACTAAAATATCCTCGAAACTTTGATAGACTTTTATGCCCTTAGAATTTTGAGTTAAATATGGATTTAATTGTAATATTCCAAATATTACCCCAAGAATGGAATTCT